CACATCACTATTAAGAAGCAAGGGTTTTTGGCACTTGAGCTAAAATTGTCCCTTAAAATTTTTTCTGAGCTGTTTTAGGGGAGTACCCTCTGCTTTAAAAGCACTGACCACAAAAGCACCTAAAGAAGTGGCTTGAAGACTGCAAATTTTTATCCGCTTAGGATGCCACTCAAAGGTTTGAAAGCCCTCATCCACTTACCTGGCTATGTAAGAGCTACAGAAAATCCATCACCATTAGTGAAAGAGCTATAAAACTAGAAAAAGTAGGTTAGCAAAAGTCACACAAATGAAGCCTAAGCCTACATTTCAAAAGCAGTTTTTCAGAGGAAGAATGTTGTGTTCCCCTTTCCATATTCCTTACAGAGAAGCTAAAATATAAATGTTTTAAAACTTCATCTTTTAAATTGCTTAAACCATCATCAATAAATAAAAACCAAATATGAAAAGCCCTAGTAAAAATCTTTCAAGAATAACGTAAGCAAATGTGGTTTAAAGATATTTTCATTTACTAGAAAAGGAATGCAGCCTGTTAACCGCACAAGCAAAAGACTGAAAACCAGCTGAGGAGGCATGTTAGCAGCATCAGTGAGGTTATACCTCCTGTGATCCCTCCAGGTGCCCAACCAAAAACATAATCCTAAGAAAAAAGTTTCCAGTTTTGTGGACATGCAAATGTGAACGACTCTGAGGAAGTATGTGCTGTTTCTCCAAGCTTAAGTCATAGTGCTGTGTGTACTGATTACATCCTATTAACTTTCTGAAGAAACAGTTTTGCAGAACAAACAACACTGTAGAAACAGTTTCGGTCTTTCTGTAGAGATTCCTTGCAGATTCCAGCATGGTTTGCATTTTCATTTGGTTGTAGAAGAAAATGCAGTTTCTTTCAAACCAGTGTAACCTAAGTGTTGCCCCTTCCTTCACCGTTTCCCTAAAAAATTGAGAATCCATTGATGTGAAGAACATTAAATGTGAGTAGGTGGGGCTCTTCCACCCCCATTTGCTTGGAAAGTCAGGGGATAAACCAAAATTCTAGTGTTTAGAATTTGCAACACTAAAAATGCAAATGAAAGCTTGCTTCCTTAGTGATCCCTCTTACTGATTACCTTAAGTGGAAAATACCAGAATTCTTCCCTTCTATTGGTAAACTGTAGTTGGGAAGTATAATTTATATCTTTGATGTCTATTCTTTAAGTCACTTTTTAAGAAAAAGTCTGTATGAAAAGACAAGGTAACTAATACCATTTAGCCTCTCTTAAAATTGGCAGGACCAACATCTGTACTTTCACAGGAACACAATATGCTTACACAACAAAGGAGAGCAATGCCATAATTGACAAACCTCCCTTTCACCTGTCCCCATTCTTGCACATTCCAAGGTGTAAGGCTCACTGTCAATTGTAAAGCTGCTGTTCCTGTCTTTAAGAATGTATAACTAAAGAAAAACTTCATATGCAAATCATACCATGTTTATTTTTTTATTTAACTTGGGAATGGAATGGGGATAGCATACATTTTATTTGTACAATATTTAACAATCACTTACCCAAGGTGGGGTTTTATGGGACTTTTTTTTTCTTTTTTGACTTTTTGTTAAATACTTGCAGAAAAAAACAGCAAGTACAATTTGACAGTAGTACAACAACCTGTGCCCAAAACACTGACGAGAAACACAGAGTGAAGCTAAAGTAACTGTCTACCAATATTCTGAGAGGTAACGAACAGGATATGGGTTGAGACTGCATAAAAATGTACTGCTGGTTGAGTATCTGAGGTAAATGATGTTCAATCAAGATGCTACTTGTATCATTTTGCCCATAAATCAGTAAATAATTTTATGCACATTATACCAAATGTTCCTAAAAAGTAATAGTTTTAAAAGGTAAAAAAGAGAAACTGGAAAATATCTGTGGCAAAGCATCTTTTTTAAACAGTTAATCAGTTTATTCCACTAAACTATCATCTGGCCAGGATTTTTTCCCCTCCTACCTGCATTTTACTTAAATGTAGCTGTTATACTACCTAAGAGTAAGGATGGGGGAAGAAGAGTTTCTTTATACTTTCATGATTTATGATTCATCTTTAAGTTCTAAACTTTTTTCTTTCTGATTGTATTTTCAAAACATCACCATGAAGGACAGTGCAAGTTCATGGGGCCAAGAACTGTGAGGCACAGTCTCTGTTCTGGAATTCACAAGGTACCTGTAATAAACATTCAAACAAGAATCACACGTCACATGCTAAAAACTGCCTAGCATCTAAAATACATACAAGAGCGGTGCAGGGCATAGACTTCGAATACAGCCAAACACTGGTTAGTCCCTCAGTCCTGTGGCAGTTGACATAAAGCATTCCTTACACGGGGATCTGGGCAAGGTCAAGAGTGTAAGTTAGAGCAGCAGTTCTGATGGGTGTCATAAAGGCAGAATACAAGACGAATCATAAGGAGCACCATACACATGAGGAAAAAATTATTGGGGTCTGCTTACCCCCAAACAAATCATTTTTCTTTCTTTGATCACTCTCTTTTTCAGTATCCCTAAGCTTAACCTTTTTATTAACTTGCCCACTCTACGCTGACTGTAAACCAAATGTGAAAATGCCCTGCAAAAGAAAGTTTTAACAAGACTAGGTACAGGACAGGTAGTCCCTGGAACATTCTTATTTTACTGCTTATAAAAATTATTTTTCTACCAATGTAGTTCTCAGAAGGATACAGGTTTTATTGTAAAATTGGTTAGCTAGAGTTAAGTACAATACCCGGGGTTTCTAAAAATGTTTTCTAACATGAAGAGAAAACTTTATTTTGTGAATAACTGGTCTTATAAATGTAACTCTTTTTAAGTGTTCACATAAGCCAAACATTCATCATAATACTCCTTGTTTTCCTTTGATTTAACTTTTTTAACTTTTAAAAACAGGATTAAATGTTCAGAACAGGTAGAAATCAATCTTCAAGAGATGAACAATTTTCATGTATGAACAGTCTCATTATTTTCCCTTCTTGATTAGTTTCCAGGTAGAAGCAAAACCAAGAAATTGAGAAGCCAAGTACTTTTTGAAATAAAGGTAAACTCAACACTGAAATGGGAATTCTTAGAAATACAACAAAGCCTTGGGTACATTATGTGACCAAGAACACAAAGTTCTGTATGGTGTGTGGCACACAGACGACAATGCTGTTACTCTTCTTTCCCTCCCTGCTTAGAGTCTGTTGACCTATGTATTATTTATAAATAATATAATTTATTCCCAGAGATTAAGTGCACGTTTTATGTAAAATGTAGTGTACTGTGTGGTTAAATAGCCATTTGAAGATAACACATTCACAGTGAGCTCCTGATAGTGACACATAAAAAATTCTTTTATAAAATTAACATGAATTTTAAAATGACCTGACAAAAGTACATAGCATAATACTGACTATTTGCTGGTCAGTAACCTAATTAATGTTTTGCTTTGGCCTGTAAATTTGAGAAGGAATCCAATTATATTCTAATGTAATATTGTTTTGAAAAGCACTTTGGCACCTACTTATCAGTTCCATTTTCTCATCAAGGATAAGGCATGAACTATCCTAAATTAATATCAGTTAGTTGTAAAAGCAATTTGTGGAAGGAGGCTATGTTACCTATATCAACATTGGTTACCTCTAAATGTCATTGCATATTTTAAGTTATAAGTTTTAACTTGTTATCCCTGATTTGTTTTAAAGCAGTAACATCTGAAATCTGTGCTTAAAGTTTAAATCTCTATCCCAGGATAATTCTTGACATATCACAGACATCAAATATTACTCTGACAAGATGGCACCAAGCAGAAATATAGTAATAAAGTTACAAGTCTCAAAGCAGAGAGTGAGGAATTCTGGGTAATGACACTTCCTGAGGTGATTCTAAAACAGTGATCAAGAATGTCCCACACACTGTTTGGTGAAAAGAAATACACTACAATTTTACATATATAAATAGGAAAAAAAAATCTATTTTTAAAGAATAAAAATGAAGAGCTTTCCAGTGTTACAGCTCACTTAAAAAATTTTAAATCATGCTTTAAATTTTCAAACAGTCCCCAAGCACAGCACACCTAAAAAAGTATGTAGCTAAGTATGCAATATTTTGGGAACTGGATATAAGATGAAGTTTTTTTTAAACATGGGAGAAAAGGGGGAAATACACCATTTTTTCATTTCAAAAAAACAGCACTTTTTTTTCCCTTAAATCACAAGCTAGCACAAGAAAAGCTAAAACACTGCTTTACGAATGGCCACTTACTGTTGGCACTAAGCGTAGCTTACCTTTTTTCTTAAATAACACAGTGAATTTGTAATACCTTGTTACAAAACACGGGTCAATTTATTATTGAAATTTTGTTAGTGTTTTCAATTTTATAATTTAGCAACCGTGGAACTGAGGTATACCTTGTTGAGGGAGGTTAAAGTAATGCTTGGAAGCCTCTTCACTGTACCCCACTTAGATGACTTTGTTTATGTACACAGAACAGCAGCACACTAAACATTCACAAGCTGTGTCCTATTGGCATCACAATAGTCATTTATAGAAACACAACAGCAAATGCAATAAAAACAAGTTACCCTTTTAAAATCTGAAATGAAAAGTTTTTGATTTTAAAAAAAATAGCAGTAGTTCATTTAAGGAATTAGTGTCTTCAGACAGACATTAAGAAATCTGATGTCAGTTTTCAAACACGTGATTAGCCAAGTCCAAAAAGATCCTTGATTTGGAGAGGGCCACATTCTTCATGTACATTTTCTCAAAAGTTTCTTTATACAGTTTACAACTTTTCTCTTAGTCACGTGTCCTTCATGTCTCTGCTACAGGCAATGCCATAAGTCTCCCAGAGCCACCTTTTGAAATGAGGGTCTTCTTTCTGAGATGTCCAGGAGACACCCTACTCATTTCACACGGAAAATAAACTGTGAGCAGTTTCTTTAGCAGCTCCAGCTGAGAGTCCGGTTTCTGTGTGCACACACGATGCAACCATCATAGACTGGATTCTTTGGGAGGAAAGTCAACATTTGTCACCATCGTGACCACTGTTACAATGTCCTCTGTGGTAATGATATTTGTTAGTCTTTGCATCTGAGTAATTCTTTCACCTACACATCCAGCTGATAACCTGGCTTCGGCATCGTGATCCCAACATTCTTCTATCGTTTCACAGAGCATTGCCATTCCCTAAAAAGGAAAAACACATTTAAATATCATAGCAATTTTTGTTTTCTATTGGGAACTAGAGTAAAACTCTCATAAAGAAATTGCTATTCTTGTGGGTTAAAGACAGTCTCAAGATTAGCTGAGTTTGATATTTGTCAACATTCACTTTTGAATATCTCATATGTAGTAACATGGAGAGAAGCACTGAGAGAAAACAGTATTTTTTTTTTAAAGCACTGGAGATGATCACAGCAATTCCAAATATCTCTAATCACTGTTCACAAAGCAGGTAATTTAAATTTAAGCTAGCCTTTGAACTGAATTCAAAACTAAGGCTTTGAGAAGTTTACCAATTTTTATTCTTTTCTTAGTTAATATCAGCATTTTTACCTTGCAGATAAGTAGGAAAAAGGTTAGGAAGCCACATTTAAGGATTCGCTACTTGGCTTATCCACGTCTCTCTAGTTATATGCACTTGTTTCCCTTGGAAACCTTCCAAATAGGGGACACACTGTGACACAAGGGCACGAAGCCAAGTGTCCCCTACGGCTCTGACTTTTCCGTCTCCCTCACGAGCGTACAGATGTGGCCTTAACTGCATTGTTTCCAGGACTCTAGTATAGAATATCTTGTACCAAGATCTCTGCCTCAGGATATCCAGAAAGAAAATGTGCAGAAATATAAATCATTCCTCTGATGAGCTTTTTTATTATTGGAAATTAAAGTGAAAAGCTAACTGTAACTTACAGCATGTTTCTGCCAATAATCTCTTAAAACAGGCCTCTTTTTTTTATGCACAACAACTTCCTGCATGTCTTCAAGAGAGGGATGCTGGCCAATTTCTTCCTCAAATGGCAGCATGTATTCATCTACAGGTCCTGAAATGTAAAAAAGGGGGGAAAGTCGTTTTAATTCACATCATCTTGCCTTCCTAACTGGAACAAGTTTTCTAAAACATACTCTTACCACCTTTTCCTAACTGTCATATGCTATAATGACAGGAGAGAGACAAATGTTCAACTGTAGTTACAACCACAAATGTTAATTTAGAAGAAATCAAAGTCTGTAATTTGGCATGTAACACTGCTAAGGATTGTAAGGAGTTCTACCTACTGCATAAGGAATACCTAACTCTGTATAAAGGACACAGGGAACTGTGGATATGTGCATATTAAGGATATAACATCTCTATAAGGTACCCACTCCTGCAATTCAGATCAGACTATAAACAGTAGTGCTTTCATTGAAGACTGGGTTCAGTCCGTTATAGCCATCTTTATTCTGACATGCCGTAGCCCCCTACACAATCATACAAGGAGGTATGTACTCCAGAGGCACACCTCTGCCCTCACAAAAGCTGCCAAATATTTAGTTTAAAAATCACAGATGTACTGTAGAAACAGGGTTCCCAACAAGTCAGAATCGTGCCTTCACAGAAAAGCAAGATTTATTCTACAATATAATTTTTTTTTTTAACTTAGGTCTACTCAAATACAGAAATTCAGTTAGGAGTTATTAATAAATAATAATAAACAGTTATGCTGACCAGAAGCTTTATATTCCATTTTATCTTCACAGAGTGCAGATACCCTATTTTACAGATTATAAGTGCAAAAAAATTTCCATAATTTGCACAAGGACATACAGCTGTAAAGTAAGAGAGCTGAATCCACCTCAGAATGACTCTAGAGTCTGTGAACCGTCTGCCCTTGATGGAAATTGGTCACTAATGAGCAACTTCAGTGACCAGATGCATCTGTATATAGATAACAAACCCTGTGCAAGTTCTCAAAACATACCAAACACTCCTGCATAGAATTAAGTTAACAGTGGATCACGAAGGAGGCCATCTAATTCAACCCTGTCTAACTGCACAAATACTTGGGGGCTGAATAGTCGGACTCTGCTTGTGCGCTTCCAGACACTTAGAGTACTGACATTCTAAGGTGTCTGTTACCCTCGCTACTCTAAATGTGCTCCACAGGTCAGCAGCATTGACAGGCAGCTTGTAAGAAATGTAATTATTAGGCCCCACTCCAGACCTACTGAGTCAAAATCTGAATTTTAAGATTCCCAGGAGTTTGGTTTGCACATTGAAATTTGAGACTCACTGACGTAAACCATCAATGATTAACCATCAAAAAAATTTAAGATCACTACTTTAACAACGTTCACACTGTCCCCTATAACCTCTGACTTGGATCAGAAAGGCCTCTCTGCAACTGAGTATTCCATAGCACCTGCAAGGTATTTAAGAAATCTAAGCATCTATCCCTCTCTGATTCCATAAAAACTTCCCTGATACAAAACAAAGCAACTCCTCACTCCTCCAAACTCCAATAATATTTCCTTGCACTTCTCAGGTATTAACATTTATCCATGGCTCAGCAGGTAAAGAATCCGCCTGCCATGAAGGAGACACAGTAGACATGAGTTCGATCCTTGAGTTGAAAAGATATCCTGGAGAAGGAAATGGCAACCCACTCCAGTATTCTTGCCTAGAAAATCCCACAGACAGATGAGCCTGGTGGGCTACAGTTCATGCGGTTGCAAAGTTGGACACAACTGAGCACTTAAACTCAAAATTACCTACATGGAAAATTCATACTTACCTTACTCTAGAACTGACTGTCCAAGATACATTTTTATCAACTGAACTGTACATTGTTTATCCCTCATAATACTATATCCAACTGGTTCGCTTCAGAGAGTTCATATTACTCAAATTTTAAGCAATATATTTCCCAGTAACATCTGCCATCTCACCTGCTTCTTTCTGCCTCCATAAATGCACATAATGCATTCATCTTCCACTTTAACCCAAAACACACTGAACAGTTTACTCTTCTTCCTATAGACTTTTAAGCTAAAATTATATCCAAATTGCTTCAACCTTTCTTAGGTTCTGGATCCACTCCCACACCAATTTTGGAAGAATGAATGGCTGTTCATTCCTAACCACTTGTCCACTAAATTCCCTTTAAAAGCACCTTACCCCAAGTCAAGTTTCATATAACAGAGGTAGTCTGTCATACACTGAGAAACTATTAAAATACTCAGAAAATACTCATAGAACATAGGTTAAGATAGTTATACCTTTTAAAAATTAAAAAAAAACAAAACTTATATTCTCATATCCCAAGAAGTGTACCATGATTGGAGAAAAGAGAGACCTTCTGAGGAGCACTAAAGACAGTACCCACAACACTATAATTCCTTCACACCAGGAGTATAACATGCAGGTTTATAATCAATCAATGTGAATATCTGTTTTAGAAAAAGATTTCAAAAACAAGGACAAGGAATCCCTTGGAACCAAGGTGATGTGCTAGAGAATGTAACTTATGTTTATAATAATGTCTACAGTAGATCAGACTTTCAAAGCTTTAAAGAGGCAGAATCTAACCTGCAGTATAATGTGCTCAGCCATAGAGGACAGAATGCTAATTCAGTCTGTTGCTGAGGTACATGCTGCCATCAGGCAAGTGCTGAATAGCCTCCCAGGACAACGTTTGGGAGGCCAAATCTACATGCAACTCTCACCCAAGAGCTGACTTTAACCCTTAGGTATCTTAGGACCCATATGACCTGACCAAGGTAGCAGCCCTCTCCCTGAATCTGGATCAGTTTAAAACTAGGCTCTATCACTCACCAACTTACAGCTAAAATAGACAAGCTACTTAATTTCTACTTAAATTTTGAGTGTCAATTTCCTCACATATAAAACTAAGCTAATACCTCCAAAGTTGTTTTAGAAAATAAGCTAAAAGTATGTGGAAAATTCTAAAAGAGATGGGAATACCAGACCACCTGACCTGCCTCTTGAGAAACCTGTATGCAGGTCAGGAAGCAACAGTTAGACCTGGACATGGAACAACAGACTGGTTCCAAATAGGAAAAGGAGTACGCCAAGGCTGTATATTGCCACCCTGCTTATTTAACTTATATGCAGAGTACATCATGAGAAACGCTGGGCTGGAAGAAGCACAAGCTGGAATCAAGATTGCCGAGAGAAATATCAATAACCTCAGATATGCAGATGACACCACCCTTATGGCAGAAAGTGAAGAGGAACTAAAGAGCCTCTTGATGAAAGTGAAAGAGGAGAGTGAAAAAGTTGGCTTAAAGCTCAACATTCAGAAAACTAAGATCATGGCCTCTGGTCCCATCACTTCATGGGAAATAGATGTGGAAACAGTGTCAGACTTTATTTTTCTGGGCTCCAAAATCACTGCAGATGGGGATTGCAGCCATGAAATTAAAAGACGCTTACTCCTTGGAAGGAAAGTTATGACCAACCTAGACAGCATACTAAAAAGCAGAGACCTTACTTTGCCAACAAAGGTCTGTCTAGTCAAGGCTATGGTTTTTCCAGTGGTCATGTATGGCTGTGAGAGTTGGACTGTGAAGAAAGCTGAGTGCCAAAAAATTGATGCTTTTGAACTGTGGTGTTGGAGAAGACTCTTGAGAGTCCCTTGGACTGCAAGGAGATCCAACCAGTCCATCCTAAAGGAGATCAGTCCTGGATGTTCACTGGAAGGACTGATGCTGAAGCTGAAACTTCAGTACTTTGGCCATCTGATGTGAAGAGCTGACTCACTGGGAAAGACCCTGATGCTGGGAGGGATTGGGGGCAGGAGGAGAAGGGGACAGAGGATGAGATGGCTGGATGGCATCACCGACTTGATGGACATGAGTTTGAGTAAACTCCAGGAGTTGGTGATGGACAGGGAGACCTGGCGTGCTGCAATTCATGGGGTCGCAAAGAGTCGGACATGACTGAGCGACTGAACTGAACTGAACTGATGTGAAGTGCCCAGCAAAGCATCTGGCAACCGTAATGAATCAATACATTTCAGTACCTTTCCTTTCCTGCCCTCCTATCCTCTGCCTCCTGAATTTTCTTTACACTACCACTTCTGGGAGTATACTTAAAAACAGCTGTGCTTTATAATATTACCTTTGAGAGTAATCAACCCTCTTCATACATGTGTAGCAGGTACACACACACATATATATATCTTTTAAAAAAAATATTCGTTCCCTTACCATCCGCAGCAGTACAGCGAGAAGCCAGTTCCCACAGGACTAACCCCATGGCGTACATATCTATCCTCAAAAATGCATCCCTTTGGAAGTTGATAGCGCCCTCTAACACCTCTGGAGCCATATACCTTCGGGTACCCACCTGAAAAAGATGTTAAAAGCAAACAGCAATTATTAACTTTGTGAACTGACATTTTATCATTTGTAAAGAGAATCAAAACCGACTGTGGTCTACTATCAGGTAAGATAACTAAATTTTGACTACCAGAATGTTATTCCACTTCAAGTAACACAACAGCCAAGACCCTGGAAACTGGACGCAACCATGAGTAGGGTGTGCTTAAACAAATAAAAGTACTATGCAGCTCTTAGAAAAACAGGAGGTAGATCTATAAGGACTGACATGGAAAGAGTTCTAAAAATATTATAGGATGAAAACAGCAAAGAACAAAGCAGTGTATATACTAAGATCCCTTCGGGATACACTTAATAGATATATAGCAACACATACTATGCTGGTTTAGGCTTAGACTTTTTCCCCCTTCTGGAAGTAATCACAAACTGAACAATGATTATTTGTGGAGAGAGGATGGAACATAGAAAAAATTCTGTTTACTTTTCGACTGTACAGTTTGAAATGTATCCTTAAAAAAAAAATACTCTTTTTGAGTATAACAATACAAAATATAAAACAAATTAGCCACACAAAGGATAGATAAACTTTCTAAAGTTCTATTTGCACAAAACCTATTTATTTGTTTCTTCATGAATTCTGTCTTATATTCTTTACTGATATCAGTCCCTAACATTTCTCATTAATGTTAACTATAGTTACCAAGCTAGTACAGCTGACTCTGGTTGGTGCTTGACAAAATTCATCTGTTTTAAAAATTTCTGTGTGATACCTGGGTAGATCACAATCCACTTAAGTTTTAGTAGGTCTAGGGAGTGGCCCAGATATTAGTATTTCCAAAAGCTACATTAAGTTACTGTGATCTACACTAGAAATTGGGCAGTAACCTGTAAATACACATTTAACAAAGGTATTGGAAAAAAAAAAAGTATCGCTCACTAAGACCCTAAAGTTCAAGTTTCTAATTCATTTGTTAATAATAACACTTTAAAGAGTAACTTTCTCTTTTTGGCTACTTTAAATAACTTAATTGTGCTATAAGCAAGCTTTTCCCAAAAGTCTGCTTTTCTCCTAAAGATAAATGTATGCCATCCAAAGTACTTTTTTTATGAAATGATAACATCATCTTTTTTTAGTGTAAATGTCCTCTCTTATAAATTGATGATGACAAAAGATAAAAATCATTTTTTTCCAGTATTCTTTGCAAAATATAAAATATGCAGTAACATGCATTTGAAATTTCCTGGCCCATGAAATCTAAAGTCAAGGAATCAGTGATGTATTATTTATTATTATGCATATGTGTAATTTTGTATTATTTTTATGTATTATTATTTTTATCTGTGTCATGTAACCCAATCATGAGGGCATTAAAAGATATGAATGAATCCCCTAAGTTTTTTTTTTTTTTTTTTAAGGGAGGGATGGTATGTTAAGTTTACAAGGCACCAAAGGATTGAATTCTTTGGAAAACTTAAGTCTTAAAATAATCAGCTCAGAAGTTTGGTCCTAGACTTCCTGCATGATCTTCTATCTCAGCAATACTCCATAAAATCGCCTTCCTTCCAAAACACATATGCTGTCAACTTTCTAGAACTATGACTGTTGACTAAATTCTTGAATCATTAGTCGATACTGCCAAAATTTGTTGTGCTATGTTCTTGGAGGCCAACAGCATACACTGGGAAAAAAAGCTGAGAATCAGGTGATCAAATAATTTGCATAATTTGAAAGATGAAGCAATGATTAAACAAAATCATTTGGCTTTATAAGGAAATAACACCTTTCAGTCGAACTGTTTTGAAAACACCTTTCCTAGCCTCAGTTTCTGAGAATAAAACATATGGATGTTCTTTTCCCCTCTGGCCTTCCTTACAGGCTTCTATTGCTGAGATCTCTTGTGTAAACTTCGATTAACTGTAGCCCATCAGGCTTCTCTGTCCATGGGTTTCCCAAGCAAGAATACTGGAGTAGGTTGCTATTTCCTTCTCCAAGGATCTTTCCAACCCAGGGATCTTTCCAACCCAGGGGTCAAACCCAGGTCTCCTGCGATGCAGGCAGATTCTTTACCACTAGGGGAAACCCCAAGTTAAAACTAGTGAGTTAATAATATTAAGAACTCCCTAAAAGAATGAGGCCTATTAAAATGTGACAGATTCTCCTTTGATTCATTTTAAAAATAGAGTCCTATAACATTTGAATTGTTTTAGATGAATTCCTTGATCTAACTACCATATGAAAATATCTTCCTTAGCAAATTTAAAACTTACTCAAGACAGTTATTCTTGATTAGATGCTAACTTAATAACCACCACAATAATTTTAGACCAACTGATTCCAGATCAACCATCTAAGAAAATATGGGACAGGATTATTTTTCCTTAAGAGTTTATAGTTATCATCCTTACCTGTCCATGGGTATCACCTGCAGACTTGCCAGCCTCAAATTTTAATGCCAACCCAAAGTCAGCAATGCAGGCTGTCAGATTGTTTTTCAACAGCACATTTTTACTTTTGATGTCCCTTGCAAACAGAAAGATAGACAAAGTATTCAAATTCAGTTAAAACAATTTTATCTTTTAAATTTTTTGACTGTGACTAGGAAAAAAAGACTATGTATGCTATTAAAAAAAGTATGCAATACAGAAAAAGGAGAGGGAAAAAAGCTTAAGTAAAGTCTCCATATAGCTTGAAGCACAAGGGTACAGTGACCAACTCCTATCCACTACAGGGACAACAGGAAGGAATTCTCTCCATAAAGCCATTTTATAAAGAGCTGCCATTCCAAAGATACTGTCCGGCTTTCATGTTATCTATGTCACTCCAATCTACCAATCAAAAAATTGTTAAGATGATAAGCATATTTCAGTTTATAGTTAGAAACTCTCATTGAAACTTCAGGTTAAAAACCAAAATGAAAAAATTTTCAAATAACAGCAGGATTGGAGTCTTTTGCATATTGGCACAGGCCTACATTTTAAAATAGTCCCTTATTTTAATGGCTCTTATATTCACCAACCTGGCTGTACAGAAGGCACCCAGAGGAATGTTTACAGATAAAGTTTCCCACAAACACACACGCTCCCGCTGGGGCCTGGCGTTCCGAAAAGAGTAACCATTTTAAGGCAATCAGCTCTCCTCTACACTCCAGCCTCAACTAGTTCATGCCAGAGATAACTATACCCCAGACAAACACATCTGTGTCGTAAGCGATGGTTAAATGTATGTGTGCAGACACAGGGACCAAAGTGAGGCAGAGGACACAGATACCCACAAATGCTACAAAATCCAGTTTAGACTCAATCAATTTTTAGGTACCCTACTTAAAGTAACCTTTGGGGGTTCACAAGGATTATTTCCCATAGGACTATGTGAGGCAAGCAAAAATCCAGGAAGAGGCAGTTAGACTGTATGCAGGAAGATGAAGGGGAGCTACTTCAGAGGTGGAAGTCATTTAAGGTTTTCAAAATTGGAAATGAAATAAAAGTAATGCTTCCCTGCAACCTAAACACCACCTGATGTATTAGTTCCAAGCATCAGTTAATTTAAAACAACCATCTTTAAATTGAACATAAGATGGTGAACTGATCCCAGGTTCAAGGAAGTTAAATTATAGTGGCAAACCGAATCCCATATTTAAAGGGAACTAATGTTTTCCCTTTAAGGATCTGACAGTTGTTGGGTCCAAGTACTATTTCTTCACTGAAAAAGGAAATTTAGTCAACCCAATTATTCAAATCATGCCTCCCATCACCTCAGCTTCGGTAATGATCACGTGGTCATTCAAAACACAACCAAAAATATATTCGAAAATCTCTCCTTAATTACATCCTCTTATACCTATTTATAATCATCTTTGAAGTAAATCATGTTTTGAGGCAAAATAAATTTCTCCTTTGAGATAAATACACTTTCATTCTTAACTATGTTTTAGGAAATAAGACAAATTGAAACATAAGTCAATCGTTAACCTTTGATAATGATGTTAATATATATACATCATCCAAAATACTTCCTGGCCAATCTCAAAGCTAATCTGAAAAACAAATGAAAATCAAATGCCTCCGACAGCATGATTAAATAACTAGGGGGAAAATTTTGCCCAATGGTTTGAAAGTTTAAATAATAAACAAATACTGAATTACTGGGGAAAATAATATAAATTCAGCTCTACCTGTGAGATATGGCGGGTTTGTGGCCATCTTTTAGGCCAGGTATATCCTCATGTAAATATGCCAATCCTCTAGCCATGGTTTCTGCAATATGACACAATTCATTCCAAGAGACCACATTAGCCTTAAGAAAGTCTGATAGTGAACCCTAAAGAAAGGGGGAAAAAAAACAACTTATGTTCTTGATAAAAGCCATGTGTATATGGAGACTTTCCTTTTTACTTTTAAGAGGTTATGGAAGGCAACATATCTTTCCTTTCAGTGAATAATATCCAAGGTCCATTTCTTTCTGAATGGTTTTAAGTTTCACATTAAGAAACATTTGAAAGGAATACCACTAGTCTTTAAAGGTTTGCTATAAGCACAGTCAGTCAATTTCTCATTTAGAAGACAAAATTTAAATGAAAAAAAAGATTATTGGAAATCTAAAATTCTAGAAAATATTTTAGAAGTTAAAATATACTGACTATAGAGATATTACATCCTAAGACTAGGAGAACAAAAAATTAAAATATAAACAACTAACCTAAAGGATCTTCCTCTGGAGATCACTGCCAACCTTTTGGTTAAGAATCAGGGAAATAAAAGAGCCACTTTTTTCTGACAATGATGAAACTGACTGGCAAAAATAACCCAATTTCCTACTTCATTAATGTATACTTTCATACTAACTCTGAAAGTAGAAAAATCGAGGAAAAATAGCAAATGTGTTTTGGTGGTAACTACCCTACAAATGAGTGACAAATCAAAGATCAGATAAATTTCCTGACCCTACTTTTGTCACTAAGCAGTACTGACTAAAGAATTTTAAGAAACAAAATTCAAGTTGAAAAATGGCTTGTGTAATAAAAGTGGATGGTAAATGACATGAAAACTACTAACCATGGGCCACACTAAGATAAGGGAAGTGACTGCAGCACAAGAAGTCAGCGACGAAAGACTGGTATTCTCTGAGGAGAGGGCTAGGCAAAAAAGCTGTCGTCTTTGTTTTTCTATTAATACAAATCATTTTTAAAACAGGTTATTTATAAAGATTAACCAGTAACACCCTGTCCCCAGAGAAGTGAGTGACGGTTTTGTAGCCAACATTAGGAAAGTAAGCCAACCCTGACTTTACTGAGTTAGAATGGGACGTATGGATAGCTCTACCTTTTCATGAAACGCTGTGATCAGCCACAGATCCACGTCAACACTGGTGCCTCGCTTCTCTGCACCGATGAACTGCAGTATGTTCTCATGCTTCATTCCAGGCAAACTATAGACTTCATATTCATTCTGCCATGACTGCTTATCCTAGAGGTAAAAGAAAGAAAAATAAGAATGCAAAGAACACAGGCAAACAAACCATATCTAAGAGATTACTCAAGTGAGTTCTGAGAATTTTTTTTTAAAGGCTAAGTATTAAAAGATTCTTTGGTTTTCTTTTGTCCTATTTTTTTTAATAAAAAAAAACTCTTGACAACAGGTAACAGCTCCATACTAAATGCCTGCCCTGCCTCTTTCCCTCAAACATACTTTTTTGTGTCTCTAATTTGTAAATCTAGGAGTTATCAGAAATGCTGCACTTCTCAATCTTAAAAATGGCAACATGTTCCATACGCAAGTTAGTAACTACAGTGTAATTTCATCATGGTGTGAAGTCACTTATGTTACTATTAAGAATAATCTCTCTGAGACATGAAATCCAGGGAGAATGACTTCATCTAAATAGAAAACAAATTTTTTCCAATGACTAACAGTATGTCAAACATTCTTAACAAAATGTTTAGAATACCCTGCAGAGTCAATAAGAAAGCAATGGGGTATAAATATGCAATACAATAATTTGAAACACCACAGACTCACTTGTGCCTGCAAGTGATCCATGCCTCTTATGTGTTCTGTCTACTTACAAAGGATTAGTTTCTTTTCACAATGGGAGAATAATGAAAGAGGGAGGCATAATGGTTACAAACCCTCTGGATCCAAACTATCTAAGAATCTCTGGCACATTACATAATCATTCAATTTCCTCATTAGCATAACAGGGACTGTGGTATCTGCCTCACAGGGCTGTTGCGTTATATGTGTAATTTATGTTGTATTACATGTATGGGTAATACATGGATACATATTAATGTGTACTTACATATGTAAAGTACCTCTATCTGACACAATGGAACCATTCAATAAAATGTTAGCTATGGTCATTGCTGTTGTTACACTTAGGTTAATCCAAGTGCATCCTCACATGAAATAACACTCATTGGCCCAATAGACTTTTCCTCTGAGAATTAAACTATACTTAACAGTATCTGCATTGCTACCAAAAAAAAAAAAAAGGAATAAACTTCTTCACAGACTCTGAGAAACAGGCTTTCAAAGAGGTAAGAGGGCAAAGGTCTAGGTATATTAGACAAAGAAACCGAATAATTTTGGTATAAGGAAGATCTACTATATAGGTGCAGGGGAGGGGTGAAACCTGCATCAAAACACCCAGCCAGGATCCCAATACTACGCATGGCATTAGCCACAGGTATGAGGAAACCGACGACAGGAACAAAGGAATCATCACAGATCTATACCACGAATGGAGCAAAACTAAAGGGTATCTCAGAGGTGTGAGACCAGGGTTTTATGAGGTTGGCCTCTAAAACAAGAACAAGTCAACAGTAAATCAATTATTTGGAGTCAGCTGACTGCCTCTGAAAATTCACCAAACAAAATGAAACGATTACATCAATATGCAAAAGTAGAACAAACTCCAATCTAGTAGTAACATTGATATATCTCCAAACAGCAATTGTAAAACAAAGTACACGACTCGTTCATTATTGTTTGCTTTTTCTGATAATGTCAATGGGGCATTAAAAATTAACCACTCAAACAATGAACTATATTTTTTAATTAGAATCATCTCTGCATTTCTGTACAACTTTTATTGGCAAAAACTTCCCCAATATGTGCATATACTGAAATTCCACCCCTCTGAACAAACATGACTGTTGTATGATTAATTTCTCAGATGAGAAGACAGACATAAAAGGGCTAACCATTTTCCCCAGTAGCGCAAAACCACCCCGAAACATATGGCATGTGTTTTCAGACTGTTTCTGAGTTACAATGACCTAACCAGTTGCATCTTTTAACAAACATATGCATATCAGAAAACTGCAATAAACATACCTGTATTGGAAATATTTTCACAGCCACATATTCATTGAGTAACTGGGCTTTCCACACACAACCAAATCTTCCCCTTGCTTTCACTTCTAGTAACTGTAATGGCTTCAAACCTAGTAATGGAGAAGGTGGGGGTGGTCCTGGGTCCTACAAACAATAATAGTATTATTTTAAAAAGCAGCACATGATACATATCACTTCTAAATATCAGGAAAAAGTGAGTATACTAAGGAATCAATTGACAAAAATGGTAAACACATATAAATGACATTAATTTCAATCTTGCCAAAACTGAGTTCTTAAGCATTACTAATTATCTATAGTGATCACAAAGTAAGGAGCTTGAATTCAGTTTTCATAATAATAATCAACACTATTACTGTGTGTGTGTGTGTGTGTGCGCGCATACATAGCAATCAAGAGAAAAGATCTTTTTGATCCAGTCTCATTAATTCTAAGATTTTTCTGTGACCTTCCAGGATACTATTAATAGTATCCCAATTTCATCCAGTTGACACCTCCTTATAGAGTAAGGATTTGAAAAGTAACAGAACAGCAAATTATGGCTATGCATCAAAAACCCACTCCTCAAAATCTATTATTTCCCCAATGAGTGTTTAGCTTCAACTCTTTTTCACTAATATCAGAAATACCCACGGCTATTCTCAAATACATTACAAGTAAGTATTTCAAATACAAAGCACACATAAAAATACGTAAGTTAGTGTTGCTATAACCAAACTGCTCTGTTCATTCTAATTTTTCCACCCAGTAACACTTAATCCTTTTGCTTATAATTATTTCCCAGAACTGACTGAGACAGTATTTCGGGACTTAATGGCAAAGAAAATACAAATTATAATTCAGAAAATAAGTGGTCACATTAGATGATACGGTATGGTAAATGAAAGAGAAGTATACGGCTATAGTTAATTTTTAAAATGAAGCAAATATATAAATAGGAGTACAGCATCACCAGGAAATCCTCCTATATAAAGTGGCAACCCTTTGCAGAAAGCATTCTATTAGTTCAATATCTGCAAATAAAGCATGAGGAAGGAAGCCTTTTGGAAAGCTTCCAGAGATGTTTGAAGGCCTGGGTAATGAATACTGTAAGAAGTAACTAAAATTTCTGTGGCAACAGACTTAATGGCACTGGGTGGAGCCTAAGACACTCAGAAATCATACGTCACCCCCTTCATCAATGCATGTCTTTCTGCCTTTACTCTCCCTTTAAAAGCAGAACAGAACTCCTCTTCTAATGCCTCAAGACAGTCAGTGCTCCCTTTAGGCATTATTTAGCCCCTAAGTGCCACTCAAGATTTTTTAAAAGTTGACATCTACGTTAGAAAGACTCTCAGCAATAGAAACATTGCAGAGTATTAAAGAAAAATCAATGCAATTTCTTCTTCTGAAGTAGACAATATTTCTAAAAATGCTTTGCGAATTCCTATTTTAAAACAATATGATAAACCAGAAGACTTCCTGTGACCCATTCTAACATCAGATAATTTTTAAATATCTACAAAAGTGGCCTTTCCTTCACACATAACTAAATATGAAAGGTTAGCAGAGCTAAAGATTGTTTTAGTTAACAAAGTGATAAGTCAAGGAAATTAAATGTAAACCTTCCCCAAGTATGGCGCCTCAGTGGGAGGGGAAACAAGACTGTGATGCTCACCAGTATTAAACCCTCCCTCCTTCCCTCATCCCCTGACTGATCAAGCATGTCTGTGCCAAGAGATCCCACTGATAGGGACATATGACTTCTGTGAACGTGGAGACAAGAGGGCAAAAAGCTGAAAACCACTCTTCTAAAAGGCAAAGGAATCCACTCAGTCCTCAAAACTCAAGAACTGTTTGATAAATGCATAAAGGAATAATTAGGCTAACTGAAGAGAAAAAGTTCAATTTGAAAAACTTTGTAACTACAAGGTTAAAGTCAATGATCCCCTCATCTTTTAGAGAAAAGTTAGAAAAGTTGAGTTTTCAAAGCAGGGATGCCAAAATTAAAGCATGCAGGTAAGAGCTGAAAGCTGATGAGGGAAAATAACCAAGTAAAATGGGACTATACATACCCACTAAGATTTGCAATAACTTTTATAAACTAACTGATAATGTCTCTTTAGATAACATACACATTATCCATTCTCTATTCTAAACAGTACCAACCATATGGATACGATTCAGTCTATAAAACCGGATTTAGATGACTTAATCCACATCTCAAAGTAAGAATATATTAACTGTTCAAAATAAGATTTTAATGTAATATTAAACTTAATTTTAGGAAACAAAAATTTCCAATGCCTATGTTTAGAATAATAATAATAAAAAAAAAATCACTGGATGTTTCCCAAATGTATAGATAAACTTTACAAAGTCCTTGTTAGTTTTCAAGACTCTACTTACAAAGTTTTGAAGCTACCATTATTTCGGTAAGAAATCTTAGATCACTCTCTTAATGATATTACCATTATGGTCAACATTATATATTAACAGCCTGAAATATGCCTTGTCAAAATTACCTTAAGAAGCTTAAACTGACAAGAACATAGGCCACTTTTCAAAGGGTGAGAAAAAGGTCTAAAAAGTCAGTACCTACAAAATGTCAGAACTTTTAGAAATATGTGGTTTTCAACAATATTCTATAATTCTTGGAAAGGTCAGGTTTAAAAATGAGAACTCTGTAAGATTATAACTATAAAATCTACAATACCAATCAATGTATCTTTTTGCTTTTCTAGTAAAATATTATTAGAATATTCTTCTAATTCATACTTTTCAGCTCTTCATTACATTTATAGGAAGCTTTAACAGCTTCTCTTATATCTAGCTTTTATTTATCCTGTAATCTAAGAATATTAAAAATTATTTTCAATTTATTAGCATCATTTTACTAATTTATAAAAAACTCAACGCTTGATTCTAGGAATAAAGATTTATACCTTTAAAATACATGAACACCGTGGGAGACAAATTCAAACTTAAACTTCACAGTGACAACATTCTCATGTTATCCATACAACGCGGCCTTGCCTGTTTCTGAGAAAAACCACTTCTGGGGGGGCAACTATAAGGACTACAGAATTCCTGAAAGCTCCCTAGGTTTCAGTTCTCTCACAGTACCTATGCTATTTTGCCCAGTGAAAAAGATACGCATTAGAACATGGCTCTGATCACATCTCTTCTTTACCCCATTTGTATGTGAAAATTATGGCAGCAGAAGACATTATGCTGAGAAGCCGCATGGAAACAACAGTGGTCACCACCCCAGCGCCACCAGCCAGCATCATCCCTACAACCCAGAATGGACAAAAGCCTAGACGTGAGGAGCTAGAAAGCAGTCTGCGAGCATTTTACTCATTCTGGGTTCTCCACATGAAAGGCAAATTCAAATCTAAATAGAAGCCTTAAATTTCTAGACAGTGAAAGATCAAGTTATAATTCCTCTAGCCAGTCCATTTACTAAAGATGCCAAAGATGCAATAAACTACCTGAAAATACAGATTTCACATTAAAAGATAATGGGTTCAATGAGAAAGTCAGCACCTGTTAAAAATGAGCACATGCTGACATTAATGACATACTATAAAAATTAACCAATCCAAGGTTTTAAGGCTAAAAATTTAGCCATTAGGTGTTAACTAAAACAATTGTTTCCACATTTCACCTTAGATAAGTATAAACATTGTTAACAATTCTTTAAAACCCAAAACTAATGCTATGATAAAATAAATGTTTTTAATATTGTAAGCGGAAAAAACTATAACATAAATTTATAAACTATAAAGGATGCACAATAAAGCAACAACAAAATCTAAGAACAAAATGATTAGTATGCATCCACAAAGTTCCACAGCCGTAAAACAAACATCAATGCATCTTACCTCTATCATTATATGAAAGGCGTGCTTGTGAAGAAAAAACACAGGCAAAAGAAATTACAATTTATATCCAGAATGAAATGAAAAATGACACATCAGTTACAAAAGTGAAGGAAGAGGAATAATGATTTTGTTTTTTAAAAGTTGGCAATGATCCAATGCATCATATTTTAAAATGAGAACTAAGAACACTTTCCTTATAAACAGAGGAAAGTAATATATTCTTTAAAAAAATTGTGGACATTATCAGATAAGAGGTATTATACAGATGTCTCTAGTATGATCCCAAGTTACTTGATCCAACAGACTTCAAGCCAGAAAATAAACTAAACTGAAAGTCTTAAATAATTTTTACATTTTTCTAAGAAGTTTTAGGGCCTAAACTGTAAACGGGGGGAGAGGGTGGGGGGGGGGGTTGGGGTGGGGGGGGGAAGGCAATTTAATTAAGAAGCTATGGGTTGGAATTGGAGTGTGGACACCAGAGGGCAGTATTGCCTTTAACAAAAACTGTAGGAGACGCGCAAGAAATTTTATATAGACTTGAGTTTCTCAGTTGTCTTCAGAATCTAGAATCTCCAACTTTCTTAACTACTCCATTTCCTTTCATGGAAGATAGAAAAATCCTTACAGTGAGACAGAAAAACATTTCTGGTGCCTGTGTGGGTGTTTACAACATAAATAATACAACTAGGGTAAGAGAGTAAGATAGGAGAAGAGTAAGATCAGAGCTGAGCAGATCACAGTGACAGACCAGGCCACCGTTAACTATTTACCCAGCCACAGCCAGGGTAAAGAAGGTAAAGAGGTGAAGCAGTGGTGGCCCTGGGAAGAAATCCACGCATTCTCTTCAGATGCAGGACACTCAGATACTGAACAAGATTCTCATTTTCCTAGTCATCCCAAAATAAGGCCCTAATTTAAAATCAAGAGAAATACTGTCACAGGTGTAAAGAAAGGCTTCAATCCTTCCGATCACTGATTATATTTCCCCAGTTTCCAACATTTCTACAGAAAAAAGCACTGACGAAAAAGATTTGACAATTTATGTGTACCAGTTGCTTAACTAGTTTTTCTTGCTTCTTGATTTTCTCCTGTATCTGATAATGATTCGGAATTATTTAATAATTCACCTAAAAGGCTTAGCTAATCCCACTATCAAAACATCTTCTCAGTACTCCAGAGTAAAATTTATCCCTTGAAAGGAATACATGCCAAATAAGTAACCAGACTGTAGCATCCCAAAGCTTAAACATCTCTCAG